GTGAAGTCTGCGCTGGATAGCCTATCCAACTAATCCCTAGAATAACTCGTAACTAAGGCACCAGTCCTTACCTTGGCCTTTATTTCCTCATCTTTAAGCCTGTTCATGCCAATACTAACCTTTGTCGTTGGCATGCTAGTCGAAGGGGGAAGACGCAATGTAGTAGTAGAACTTAAGGTAGTTGGGGCTGCATGGGTGGTATTAAGACTTGTGTAATGGTAACAATGGCAGCCGATGTTGTTATAATTTCAACGCGATTGTTAGAACCTCAAGCAATAAAAAGGCAATAGTAGGTGCCCTTGTGGTGGCAAGAACAGACACCATGGTAGCAAAGATAGATATTGATGTAGGCACCATAATAGAAACTAGTGCACTAGAGCTCTTTACAACTTGTTTTTTTGCAAGAGGGGGGTTAACATGTGTAGGCCTTTTTTTCATTTGCCTCTCCTTATTCATCACCCTTTGGAGTTTGGCTACATTTCTAGAAAACAAACATACAAAATTAAGATCATTTAGCTGCACAATAGCTAGTAGCATAATCAAAATTTACCCTCATGAGGGACCTCAACGTGTGGCACACCTAACCACTCACTTTTCCCCATACCCTTTGTAGGTTCAATTCCTTCACCACTCTTATAACAAGTAGGGGCACCCTTATAACAAGTCTCAAACCTCTTTCCCTTGATAGCCCATCTTCATTGCAACAACAACAATAAGAATAACAAACAAACAACATCAATTAGCGACCAATCTATACCAGCATCAATAAGGTATGTAGCAATTCAATAATCAACTTACATTTTTTGTTAAGTGAAGCCTCTGTTTCTTTACCCTTGGCTGCTCTTTTTTTCCCAACCTTTTCTTTGTCCAACACCCCTTGGATGACAACAGGCAAAGTTTGGTCATCAGTAGGGACAAGGCAGTAATTACGGATGTTCTTCCGTGTGGTTAGCTTGTTGTAAGAGATCCTAGCATCCTTCAATGCATGAACTTGTTTGGTTTCATCTTTTTCAAGGTCAAGATCCTTTCTGGTGAGTAGACTGGCATACGACCACTTTACTTTAAAAAAAAACCTCATGTTAGGTATTATGGTACACGCCACCATGTATCAATCATAGTTGGAATGGTTATTTGAAGGCAACTCCACTATACAAGACCCTCTTCGTGCTTACAGGTAGTAGAGCCATTCGTCGATCTCCCTCAACATATACAAGGACAAAATGATGTTCACTGATGAAAGCCAGCCATTTATCTTGTAGTAAATGTCACTAGGATCCCCCACGTGATGGGAGCAAGCTGCAACATTACAATGTTGAAAGTGGCTAGTAATAAATGAAAGAATAGGTTTGAAGGGAGGTGGAGCTTATGCCTGAAATTGTGCAGGTAAAACCCTGACATTCCCTCAAATTCCCCCACTTGGCTAATCGTAAAGCCTTAAGGTGGTAAAAAATTTCACACATTGGATCGCATAGCTTGAAAGGCCACATGATCCAACACTATTTCCACCATGGATAACGTTGTATGGCAAGAGAACCTATTTGGTGGCCATAACCTTGGAGCCAGGTTTTTGGGTTGCTCAATCATTACTCCCTTCCCCTTATCCTTTTCCTTTTGTGGCAGCAAGGATGATCACCTCATCTAGTGGGCCTTGACTTCTCTAATCACGATGCTGCGCATGTAGCCTCCATTACCTTGCCCAATTTGGCCATCGCAACCCCTTTTGCCCTAGCCTAGGCCTTCTCAGCACTTTTCTTCCTATCACGAGCAATAATGTTAGTGGCCGATGCCTTGGTCTTTTTTTAGTCGCTAGAGTTCTCAACAACTATTCTTCTCTTTGGTGTCATTCTCTTTTTCTCTCTCCCAAACCCAACAAAAACATAAAATAAACATAAAGAAATATCTTTACCACACAAATTTTTTTTGTAGAAACCTTTAAGAACACAGGCAACAAAAGGCAAAAGACAAAAATAGCAAAACTCTCTTAGAAGCTCATAGGAAAAGTGAAGTCTAAAAATTTTTTAAGCCCCCATTTTATACCTAGTCAAACCACACGAATGAAATAGTATCTATTAAAACTATTTCAAGTATTAAACGACATCTTCAAAACGACACATGTTTAAACTGTTTTAATTGATTCATGAACAATCTAAATTAATTCCACATAAAGCCCAACCTTTCAATGGCCTTTTAAAAAAAAAAAAAACATTCATTCCTTCTCAAAATAAATTCATCTTCACAAGTCACTGCCATAAATTACACATGACTGCACTCGAATCCTAATGCGACATGTGTCTTGCTAGCCACACTATTCATAAATGTGGGTACATGCCGTGCACTATCTCAATTGATGCACTTCACCCACGCACGTTCCATAGCAGGTCCTAGAATTTAACACAAAGTTTTTCTAAGTCGTCACTTATTGCCCTCTATGCCTCGACCAACTACATAGCTCAACAAGGCTTGATCCTTTCGCATCAGACTAACATATCATCAAGATTGCTGAGGGAACACGTCTTACCTTAAAGAGACACTTCAAAAACACCACTCACCAATAACACTTCTCTAGCTTTACAAGGACACGTCATTAAAATCGATGGAAAACCTATTGTTACCTTCCCACAAAATGATGTTTTTTCTTAGATTTTGGACAACAATTTAAGGGTGGTCACTTTATAACCCTTCTAAACCATGGGGCCATTTGTAATGCCCATCTACCTAGAAAACCCTTGATCAACAAGATCAACCTTCTAGGTCACCTAGACGGTGCACGCCTAGGCACCACGTCATTTTTACTCAAGGATGGCTTTCCTTTTGCCATGGAAAAGGCTCGCCTAACAATCCAACAATGACCTCTGACAACCTCTGACTGGCACCTTCTAGCTAAAACACCAAAAATACCTTCAACAAAGCCATACAACTTGCATCGGTAAGTTACAAGTTTTTTAATTAAAAATTAAATGATATGGCTTCATAAAATCTTGAGTATTTGAGCATGATTGATGGAACGATTGTCCTTAGCATTTTCCATATGTACTATGGTAATACGTCAGAGCTTTTTTCTTTTTTTTTTTAATAATTAATATTTTTTAAAAATTATAAAAATATATAGTTTTAAAATTTTTATTTTTTATGTGGAAAAGTTCACTTATACCAATTTTTTTAAAATATTTAATAAATATTTTTATGATTTCCTTTTTTAGTAGAGATCCACTTGACATGAAAAGTACGTTATGTTTTTTTTTTTTTATATATTTATTAAATAATGTTATAGATTTGATTTTTTGTAAAATCCACCCTAAACAAAAAATAAAATATATAAATCCTACATGTGTACGGTTATTATTGATCTTCTCCACGTTGCATTTTTTTATTTTTACTTTTGTATCTTTTTCTTTTTTTAATTGAGTCCCATGTGGTTTTTTTTTTTACTTTTTAATTTTTTAAATATTTCATTATTATTTTTTTGTTTATTGTTTCTTTGGGACTTTTTTTTTTTTTTGGCTTACACATGGCCTTTTCTTGTCTTTTTATTTTTTATGTTTAATCAATATTTTTTATTTTTAGTGGGCTCATTTGATACTAATTTTTTTTTAAATTTTTTAAAATATTTTTTCATATTTTAATTTTTTGTATTGGATTCAATTAATACAAAAGGTGTGCCACATTTTATTTTCTTTCAATATTTTACTTTTTTTATTTTTATATTTAATAAATAATATTTAGATTTCAATTTTTGGGATTCATTTGATATGTGAGTGTATCATGTGACAAGTTATTTGATTCTTTCTTTTTTATCTTTTTTGAAATAAATACATATTTGACCCTTGTAGTATACAATTTCTATTAATTTGATATATTAAAAAAATAAAGTTATTAGTTTAGTATTTCAATTTTTATTCTATCATTTTCTTTGGTAATTAGGACTTATATCAGTCAACTTGCTAATTTTGCATCGATATTCAAAAAGTTACCGACACATGTCAAAAAGTTTAACATCATACTATCAATTACTATATCAGTATTAAAAGAATTTTTTTAATTTAAAAATTTTTAAAAATATGAAATATTTTTAAAAACTAAAAACAATGAAATATTTTAAAAAATTAAAATGAAATAAAAATATATGAACATTTAGAAATTCATAAAATCTCAAATTTAATAAAAAAACCAAAAAAATTTTGAACATTTCAAAAAAATGAGTTGAGTTTTTTTAAGAGAAACAAAAGTAGAACAAAAGCGTGTTTAAAGTGTTTTATCATAACTTATGCATTATATATTTTATTATTTATTTAATTTTATACATATATACATAATTATGTATTATCATAATAAAATTTTTTATCTTAATTTAAGAAATTAAATATTTTAAACTCAATAGGAGTGCTAATGTGGCACCCTTTACAAGTTTTTTTTTCCTTTTGTTTTTTTTTTAATTTCTTTTGTTTTTATTTTTTTATTAGATAAATTTTTATGAGAAAAAGAGACTAATTAAAATATCTATATATCATTTTCATTTTCTTTTACTTTTCATTTTCTTGTTTTTTTAATTGATAAATATAAAAAAATAAATATGATAAAAGAAAAAAATTTTGACCTACGCATTGGCGTGAACATGTTTCTAATTATAGATAAATTTTACAAGGTGTAACAACTTCAGTTTATGTTTTTTTCTAGGGTACATAAAAATTTTATACTAATTTACCACTCTCCTTAGAAAATTTTGAAGTAATAGAGGAATATTTTACATAATACTCTGAATTTTGATATTTTTTAATCAAATGAAAAAGTACTATGATAAAATTACACTTGTTCCAAGATGACTGGTAAAATTTGCCCATTACCTTAAAATAGTTATTTTGAACTTGATTTAAACCTATCAATTTTAAATACGATAAAATGGTAAAATATGAAAATAATAAATAATAAATCATATACATGTTTTTTATAATTGTGTGTTATATCTTAATCGTATCGACACGTTTAAGACAAAAATTATATGTCATATTTCATGTCTCATGTATGTGTCATGTTTCATGTCTCATGTATGTTACATATTTAAAACACAATTAATTAATTAATCACATTTTAATTACGTTACCATGTAAGTGACATCCTTTTTTAGTTATTAATTATATTTATGCTATATTTATATTCTTTTTCTCATGAAAACATATGATTAAAGTGTTGAATGCATTTAGAATTTTAATATTTTTACTATGTTATCATTTTGGTTTAACATTGATTGATTGATTAGATATTTTAGTTTCAATCGTGTTTAATTATATCAATCATGTCTAACGTATTAATTATGTTATATCATATTAATCATTCAAAATAAATTAAAACATGTTAATCATATCATATCACATATAACATTTATAATAAATATATTATGTTTATATTTAAATAATTTGTATCATTTAAGTACTTATTTCATATCCATATCAAGACTATTTGTCGTATTTGAAATCGCATCTAACACAAAACATAATACGATTATACGAATTAACAGATCTAAACTTTATCAAGAAATTTTAAATTGTTATATACTGCCAATAAATGTAGGGTTGTTTTTCTTCTATCTAAATCATCCATTAAAAAAGGTTAGAAACAAAGTAAAATAACATTACTAAACATTCTTGAACCTCAGAATTTAAATTGTATAAAAGGCTTTTCTACCTTTAAATTAAGTTTATGACACCCCCAATCTCATATTGAGAAAATATGACCATAAGATATGATATATAAAAAGATACTTAAATCCATTTTTATGAGATACTTTTTATAAGATAAAATTCAAAAACTTAAGGATCAAACCAGATAATCCCTCAAAAGTTGAGTGCATGTTTCCATAAAATAAAATAAATCACATTGCTAAACATTCTTGAACCCTTTAATACAGAATGTAAAAGGGGTGACTTTTCTGCCTTTTACAAGTAAATGATGAGCTAAATTCATGATCGATCAGCAAGAAGCTTACGAAATTCAAAGAGTTGCAAAAGCATGGAAGATGAAAAACATGTATATCCAGCTCTCTGATAGTCCCCAATAATATCTCCTCCTACATCCCATAGCAATTACAAGTGTATATATATATATATAGTGATCTTCATCCACGCGGACCAAGGTAGACAAGGAGGAATTAAAGGTAAAGATTCAAAGCCTTTTGGGAAAACAAACACAAAGAAAAATGTATATAAAAGGTTACGACCTATGGTCCCCAATAATATCTCCTCCTACATCCCATAGCAATTACAAGTATATATATATATATATTTGCCAGAATAACACAAGAATTTAAGCCAGCATGAAGCAATGAATTTAATTATTTGTAACACATTTACCCACCTATCATACAAAAGCCTAATTCAAATGCAATGAGGGAAACGTAGTAAAAACCTAGCAAATTCCTATGTAGATGTAATGGTGACATATAGGTTGTATACATGGAAGACAGTTTTCCAGATAAATAGGTAATGAGTAGGAGTCCATGACTTTTTTTATAGGTAAAATAAAATAAAACTATAAAGTTTATCACAAAGGACTAAGTGTGATGAAATAAAGAAATGGCCTAAACACAGCTGCAAAGAAGCCTTTAAAATATAATGAAATATAACAAACACAATCAGAAGTTGCAAGCAAAATGCAATTGAAGCCGGTCCACAGGAGGAACCAGTAAAGTTTCTTATTCTACCATACAAACAAGGGCAACTAAAATGTATATGAACAATTGAAGCCATAAAAAAAGCAATTAAAAAAAAAACACAAATTAACCCGAAGCAATGGAAACATCAATATTCCAATAAACCAAACAATATCCCTAAATGCTAGAAAAAGCATAGCCACATGCCAATTTTCAATTAGATTCAACTTTAGCATCAATAAAACACCCAAACCCCAGAAAAAGTATGTTTTAAGGCCTGCCCTTACATTCTTTCAAAAACACCTTTCAATTTTCATGATTCTATAATTTCCTTCTGTATTCAAACCATCAAACCCCACAACCCAACAAATTTGTTCTCATTTACCATATTACAGTCTTCTCAGAAAGCATCAAATAAAGCCTGCAAATGTTTTATGTCATACAAATTAACTCTGCCATGATGTTAAATGCTTGCCATGTTTACATCCTATAAGAAATCACACAGAGATCATTGGATATTTACTAACTACAGACCCAAAAAGATTTCAATTTCTACTATCTTGTTTGAACTAACTTGGATAAAAAGTAGCTCAGATATTATATGCTCTAAGAGGTAGAGAAACATACATCAAAAACTATACAGTGGCTGCTGAATATGTCTTGAACAAATAAGACAATATTTTCTTGTAATCACCAATTTGAGTACCAGTGTTAGGATCCATTATATAGGGCACCTGCAAAGCACAACAAAACTTTCAGTTATTTATCAAGTCTTTGCAAAAAAAAAAAACTTATGCAATAGCTAAATGCTCCAAAGACACAGGGAAATACTTATTCTGTAAAGTTCTCTTATTTCATATTTTCATTCACTAGTAGGTTTCTGCTCAAATTCTGGCGCTTGCTTGTCATAGGGATTAGGGTTACAAAAGTGTAGCAAAGGTTCAAGCGCCTCACTGCTATTACTGCATAGGACCAGATGGCATGTTGCATGAACCAGCGAGGAGTTTATTTTGATTGAACTCTGACGGCAGGTGAGGTCAGATGAATTTATCAGGAGCTCACCTCTTTGGATCCAGATGCATCAAGGAGTAATTTTGTCCGTCGAGACCCTTCTCCCACATTCTGAAGGATGTAAGGAAGTTCTAGCTCACAAAGTGCCTCTCGTACAATTCGTGAATACTGTGGAACAGAGAAAGAAGATTGACAACCTTAAAGCATTCAGAGGTTAATAATGTTTCATTTCATTAGCAGAACTAACAGATGAATGTTAAATCACATCATTTCATCAGAAAGACTGATGGACCAAAGGAATTTACCAAGGCCCGTTTGTCAAGACCGTGCTCTGGGTCAATAAAATGAAAACCATCAAATTTAAGAAGATTATGCATTCCTAACAAGCATAACCTATTTCCATTCCATTGTACACTCATAAGGCATATTTTAAACCCAAGCAAAAGAACAAAAGCAATGTAGATGGTATCAGGAACATGATATCTTACTGGATTATTCTCATATGAGAAAAGTTCCAGCTTTCTTGATGGTGGGTCTTGTCTTGCCTTGTCCCAAAGCATCATTCCTCGGCCTGCTCTAAGAATTGTTGGCATCCATCCAGTGAACAATGTGCTGCACAATGCAACATTGTTAGACAGATAACTGATTAAGAATTAGACAAAAACTAGAGTTCTTACAAGTAATAATTAAAAAAAAAAAAGAAATAGCAAATGGAACATTTTTTGTATGTGACTTAACATGTTCAATTCAAGTCAATATCTATATTTAAAGCTCTTTTAAAGAAACATTTAAGAACTAAAGCACAGACAATAAAGTTATCCATTATTTGAATCATTTGTTCTAAAAAACTATTGGCTATGTCTTTACTTTGACTCAGTTTGTTCTGAAAAAACTAATTAACTATTATGTCATTCAAATCACACATTTCCCTCTTCTTCAGAGGTCAATGAGAACCTAATGAGTGCATTTGGTAAAATTGCTAGTTTTATGTTTCTTATTTTCCATTTTCAAATTTTTTGTTTTCAGAGAAACAAAAAAAAGATGTTTGGTAATAAAACAAATAGCATAAAACTTCAAAATTAAACAACAAATTATCCTTGGTAGTTCATAAATAATAAAACAAATACAAACAAACCTCCCTCTATTTAAATAAAATAAATTTTGTGCCCAAAAGAAAAACTACAAAAACTACAAGGTAATTAACCTCACCATATGACATATATAGCTTTTCTCTTTTACCATTTCCTTTTTGTGCACCTGCCTATAATATTACTTCACCTTTCGAGTTGCCAGTACATTAAACTGGATGTTTATGTTGAATTTTCTGTAAAAATTAATAGATTAAAACATTCGACAATCTGAGTGTGATGATGTGCTATGTATAATAAACGTAAGAAAGAACAAACCAAGAAGAGAAGGAGAAAAAAAAAAAAAGGTGAACACTTGGTAAAAGGACAAGGCCATGATCTGCATTGTAGATCTATAAAGAAGGTAGCTATTTGTAAGTGGCCTCAAGTTTGGAAACTTGTTTTCAAGGATGATGGCAACAACAGACTGTTGTTTTCCATAATTTCCAGAGAACTGCTGTCATTTTTATTACTAATATAAAAGAAAGTAAAATATCTCATCAAAAATGTTTCTTTTTCTATTTTTCTGCACTTTTAAACTGAACATATAAAACTCAAAATAAAACATTTTCCAAGAAAACCTGAACATCTAGTTTTTCTGTTTGTTTTTGTTCTCTACAAGGGATTTTAATGTATTATGCAATTTATCTTCCTCTCCCCTAATATAACCAAAGAGTGGGGATTAACGTACTAGTATATGTTAAGCAACCGAACAATCAAAAAATACATATGCACCTGCATATTGTTGTTGTTCTTGTTCTAGACCTAGTTATTACTATTATTGTTCTATAAGCTGAAGCTATATGTAACCTCATCCCAGTTAGCTGATTTAACCAATTTACAAACTTGCACAAACATTTTATATGCTTTCATCAATAGTGCAAATTTTCTGCTATTTTACCTTTCTAAAAGGCCCATTGAGGGGCTTCTCCCTTTACCATAGTGCTTGAATAGGTATTTGACTATATCACCTATCAGAAAAAGTAGAAGGAAAAATGCATGCTCAGCAACTTTCAATATTGATGGTCAAGAAAGCAGATGGAAGACTTCAAATCCAATTTATAAATTATGACAGGCATACATCAAATGTTTTACTGGTTCCCATATAAAATAACAGTACAGATACTCCTCATAAGAGCGGTCTCCAAGACGGATCATGTTAGATTCCATTCACTCATCAAAGTAGATATGCAAAATGGCTCCTGATGCATTCATAGGAAAAGAATTATAAATTTTTTTTTTCTATTCTCAACCACTTAATCAGCAATCAGTCAAAAGATGCAGAATTTTTAGATGTATGTTCTCTGCACGTTATCTCTCATAAATAATCAACATCATTAATGACCTAAAAAAGAACGGGATATGCATGATCAATAAGTTGACTGAATAAATTCTTTAACAAGATCATAGAAAACTTAAGTTTGTAAAAAAAAAAAAGATGTGGAATGTACCAATATGTAAATCTATATATGATATTTCAGTTCTAGTGGTGTCCATGAGTCTTTCTATTAAGATATTGCATAAAACCATATTCAAATCCTGCCACTTCTGCTTTTTAAGACATGGTCGATGATATTGCAAGGCCATATGTTCTTCAAGAACCTTCAATTATTCAACTAGCCTATTTGGAACACCCCTACATCCCCCTCCATTTCCATGCCAGTTATAGAAGAAATCAGTGCGATTCTCGACCAGGGACCTTGGCACTTAAATCAAAGGCATCTTAAAATAGAAGTACCATCAATTGATTTTACAGGCCTAAGGAGTTTTTCAGATTAGTCAAAGCTGAAGTTTAGGATATTTATTATTTAATGTTCCCCAAGATATGCTGGTTGTCAGGGATAAAGGAAAAGCCTGAGATGAAATACCACTTGATAATCATCCCTTGGGCAGAAAGGCACGTGAAAGCTGATAGTTGTGCTATAATATGAGGAAGAGACTATAGTTCTGATGCCACGTATGTAGTGCTTCTATGTTAACACAGACATAGTGATCATTATTTGGAAGGAGCAACTGGATAAGAGTCAAGGAAAGAAGGGTAGAGGTAGATTAAAAATCCAACTGGTTGAAGTAGTATAATTAGACTTGTGACATTTAGACATTTTCTAATTGATATAGCCCCAAACTGAAAAAGAACAGAGAAAAAGTATTCATGTAGCCAACAATACTAGTTTAACGTTAAAACTTAGTTGAGTTCATAAATAGGACCTGAGCCGACTAGGATATATCATTTAGAACACAGTGGGTACACCATTTTGCCTACCATAGAGCAAGAAGTAAATATAATTCTGCTGTTTCCTATGATAATCGCTAACTGGGTTATCATATTCATAAGATAAGAGGTAAGCAAACAACTGAATTATGTTGACTTAAGCTAACAAAATTGTCCAGTAAAACCTTGATAGATGGTGGGCCCACATGTGGCAAGTTTCCAGTTGGTTGACTACAAATGTGGCAGAGACTAAAATATTTATTATATAGTACTATATAATATTATATTACACATACATAAATTTTTAAAATCATTCTCATCCATAACTTATAATTACCATGCTCAATTCATTATCAAACAAGTAATTATTTACGAAGCAGATTTCAATAGAACAGGAGATCATTGCAGAAGAAATTAATAGCAGTTAATGTTGCAACCATCCAGGTCAGAAGAAGCTTCACCACATACCACTTTCATACATTGATATTCCAGAATTTGGGTCAATGAGGAAGGGAAACCTGCAAGAGAACTTCATAAACTTTTAAAATTCCATAAAAGAAAAAGTAAAAACACGTAACAACATTAATTGTTCCCCTGTTTCCCCCAAGAAAGCTTCATATAGGTTGATGAAACCAAGACCAATTAAGCTCAGGTAAATAAGTTTGACACCAATACATTCACAAATTCGTCCATCATCTTCAACATATGAATTTGCTAATATTTAGGATAGATGGAGTTTCAATCTGACTTAAAAACTTCCAAGCAACCAACCAAAAATCAAAGAAAATAGCAGCTTCATACAACAAAAGTAAGAATGGATGAGAAAGAACCACATACTGCTCTTTTCCACCAAAGCTTCTAACCATTTCCCTATGTCTTAAAGAACCTTTAGGACAAGGGTAGACCTATAAAAAAAAAAAAGCCAAAAAGTTTGCATCAGGTTGCAGGGGAACTAGATAACAGAACAGCATTAAAAATAAAGCTCTTTCTTCTAAAAGTGATTAAGACACTGTCAATCTAGTCAAAATGGGCATGATATGTAGTATGTAAGTGATGTAAAGTCCTATGCACTAGTCACTTTATTTATTCTAAGATGAAGCATATAAAGGCTAGATTGAGTTATATCAGAGTCTGTTCTAATTATATAAAGAGTGCACTAAACACTGAAAAACCCAGGAAATCAACCAAAATGACCCATTCGGTTTAATTCAGTTTTTACTATTAGTAGCTTTTTTCCTAATCTGTAAGTACAGCAGCAGTCAACCTAGAGAAGTTTTTTTTTTTTTTTTTTTTTATGAAAGTAGTTAAAAGAAATATGAAAACTTAAATTCAAACTCTTTTGTTATCAGATAATGCAATCCAATAACCATAATAAATCATCAAATATAAGATAATCAGATATTTTAACTTATAACAGGACATGCTATGAAAACTGATATTTTCTAGTTAAACAATGTAAAACATACTTTTCAAAGACTTGTTATCCTACACAAACTCTGTTACACCAAATCAGCAAACTTCATGTCTATTAGGTTGACAAAGGATTTGCTTTATCTGCCAACCTAATTAAGCCTTTCAATACCAAACTTGCAATATGCTGTGGTAAAATATTTTTTTTCCTAGATCTCATGACAAATGAAGACCATGTTTGTTTTGCACCACCTGTTTTTAATTACAAAAACACCTCAGAATAAGATCAGGAAATAGAAATGTTTCATGAAAGAGAATAGCTGCTAAAAAAACTTGGTTGATTTGGATAAAGAATGAATTTTTTAAATAAATCTACCAGTTCTCACCTCTACAGAAAGATCCAGCTCTGTCAATGCTTCTCGAACCCTTCTGCAAAAGGGGCATGCCTCTGTTTACAAAATTCAAATATTAAATGAAGTGAACTTTTATTTTCAGAAAATACCAATCAAAATAAGCAATTTATTAAAACTTTGATCCTGAAAGTAATGACATTTTTTACCACAAGGTGTATGACCTTAGTTATTACAACATGCTTATTTACTTGTTTTCAGAAATTCTGAAGTCCATTATAACATCCACTTAAGTAGCCTGCTCTTAGTCTTGGTCATATCTTATCCAAAACATTGAATAAGGAAAACTAAGCTAAAATAATGTAAATCATATTGCTAAACATTCTTGAACCTCATAAGTAAAATGTAGAAGAGAGCAACTTTTCTCATTCCTGCCTTTTATAAGCATATGATGTCCAATCCCATGACTAGCAAGAAGCTTACCAAATTCAAAGAGTTGCATACGCATGGGAGGATCAGAAATGATTATATCCTGGCTCTCTAAGCTCTCTGAAAGTGATCTTGATCCCCAAGGAAATCTTGCCAAAGTGGATAAGGAAGATGTTGCTACCTACTATTAAGCCAAAAAAAAAAAAAAAAGTAGAGAATTAGAGCTTTCTGCATATGCAAACATGGAAGAAATGTTTAAAAAAAAAAAAAACGTTAAGATCCTTCTACAGACCAGAGCGACAACACGTTTGCCAGCATGAAGCAATGAATTTAATTGTTTGTGACACATATAACCACCACACTTTAAAAGATAACTTTTTTTGAGGACTTATACAGAAGAAAATTAAATAAGGAACTATGAAAAAAGACTTATTAAAGTAAAAGAGAAGACAAAGACAGTAGTTGGGGAAAAAGAATTAAATGATCCAAGAGCGATGAGAAAAAGGGTGATTCTTTAAACAGATTACCTCTAGAGTATAATTCCGTTCTTGGGAGGGATCTCCTCCCTGCAAGCCACAATACAAAAGGCATTGATAAGACAAAAACGAGAAGTTATAGAAAAAGCACCACAAATTTTGGACTGTCTATAATAAAAACTGAAATCATTTCTAAGTAGGAGAATAAAGTAAGTAAATATATATAGAGCATGGGGTGGTGAATACCCAGGAAAATAAGTACTCTGTTGCACTTGAGAAATTTAATGAGCAGGACTGAGATTGGTAATGAGAGGACTAGAAAAAGAAGGTAATAGGAAGCATATTCACAAAAGCTCTAATGACAGAATATGGTAAGAGAAGTTATGAATTGCGTGATGAATGCATATGACATTAGGCAACACACATGCATAGGCTAACAATAACAGATATAACCAATGCAATAAATGAGGTGATTATAGCTCTTGACATGATAAAAGTGAGAAGGTCTATTATGAGGTGATTCACTATTACGCCTAGCCTTGTTACTCAAGATATGGTTAATGTCCTCAAGCATCCAAGAAAAAGGCTAAGAAAAGGCTAATGGGAGGGAAAGCTGCTTAACTGACCTTGTCTCTAGGTCCACAAAGAAAAAAAAAAAAGAAGCTCTTTTTTGACATGCCCAATTAGTCTAGACTAACCCAAGGATCCTACCCTTGGTCTCAAAGTTACTCCCATCATGTGCTAGTATCTATTGGCTTAGATGACATTTAGAACCCAAGTTTTTCATACAGAGACTACATGAAAAGTACAAAGAATAAAATAGAAATCTTATAATATAGCCAAAAACAAGAACCTACACATGAAAGGCAAACAAAATGATACATGAAATAACATGACAATAGAACACAAAGTTTGAAGGTCAAAAAAGTTTCCTAACAGTTGAGTGCAGAGACATGCACCTATAACTGAACCTACTCAAAACTGAAAGTTAATATAATTTTCAGCAAACAATCCCACCATAAAGAGAGCCAACTTCCATGATACCCGCTATCATAATAAAATTAAAAAAAAAAAAAAAAGAAAGAAAGAAACATAGAGACTTACAGAGAATAACCGGAGGAGGGGACAAAGGATAGATAAAAAACTAGTGGATGTATTGCCATCATTTTCTCCAGAAACTTCTGGGGAGGGTTCTCTTGTATCCAAATCTTGTTCAGCAGGTTTTGCGAGATAGTATCCGCTTTTGCGTGAGACCAATTTCCCGTTTCTCGGGAAATTTTGGGAAAAAGATGAGAATAGCAGCGTAGAAACTGGAAGTGAAGCAGTTGGTGATGGACGATAGCCGTTGTTTGAGCTTGCGGAATATTTGCTAACGGTGTTCAAGGAAAAGGAAGAAGCGAGGTAAGATATACAATGAGTCATAATTGAGCGGTTCCCAATCCCGACGCTTTTGCGTTTTGCCTTCCGGAGATAGATTTTTATGTCCAAGAAATAACAGCGAAGGGGCGGGCGGGCCTGTTTTTCGCCCAGACTGAACCTGACCTTTCTGTGTCTCAATTCCCTCGGTCTCAGCCCCACATTGTAATTATCCACCCCAAACCCTTTATTCAAAAAAATATTTTATTTTAGTAATTTTCTCCAAAATTTTAATTTTAGTAATCAAGGGCCTCATCTTATCCCAGTCAACACTTATTACCATATCAAAATAAAAATTATATATATAAAGGGTAAACCACTTTAAAATCAAGATGCGAAAAGAAATATATATATATATATATTAGTTCCCACCTATTCTTCATTGTCTCTTTCTTCATTATCACTACTTCGATATCATGTAAAATTAATATTTTTAATCACTTATTACACCTCTCATACGATTTTTTTTTTTTTTTTTGCAAAAAATTAAACAAAAATTGAAAAATTCAGGAAATATTTACTTGCATTGCATAAAAACTATGACTAACTCTACGCAATTAAAATTCTCAAGATAACAACTACAGTTGGCAATGGATAAAAATCTGTAATAATTATGTGCTCCTTTGAGTAAAGATTTATCAATATATCTTGATTATGTCCACTACATGAACAGACTGAAATAGTACCACCAAAAGAGAGATAAGGACTCTTTAACTTATAACAACCGGCTTAGGAGTACTTGATTCTACCAAATTTAAACAAGTAACAAAAAAATTTGAGATCTTATCATTTAGATAGTATTTGATATAAGATGATCTATTTAAAAATTACGATAATTTATATTTAGTAATTATATCACTTTAGTTGATAGTAATTTAAAAATTTTACTTGATAATAATCTTAAATCATTGAGATGATCATATTACTATTTTGAAGAATTATATAATTTTTAACTTAAAAATAAAAAAAAATTTATCACTATGCGAAAGTAATTTTTAATATTATTATCTAATTAATTTATCCTCACAAAAAATATAGTTAATATTACCACAAAAAACTAGCCACTAACAATTTTTTTAAAAAAAACTGATTTTAATCACTTATTCTAAAAAATTTCATATTATAAATTTATATCCATTAGAAAAAAGATAATGAATTTATTTAATAATTTTTTTTAAATTATTTTTATCAAAATTAATTTATACTTTGTAGTTTTTTTTTTTTTATAAAATAACGTTTAACTATTTTATAAATTGTTGATTTAATAAGTATTAAATATTTTTTTTTTGCAAGATTATTTTGGATATTTTGTATTATATGATTTATTTTTTCATATAATACAAAACATAATGATTTAAAAGCACTAATGATTTATAATATTATACCAAAGATGGTAATCTAAGATTATTGATGATTAAATCACCTTAATGATTTTATCACCATAATAATTAAATCACTGTAAAAATCTTAGAAAATGTTAGGTAATACTCATTTAATGAATAACTTGTGAAAGACTAAAGAAACCACTAATTAATAAACTCATTCTCAAATTTGGATTTGAATTATCAATTGATTAGGAAAGTTAATATGAGCATTATCAACAATAACCAATACACTGAAAATATCGTGACCACAAACTGTATTACTATTGCCAATATCATCATTAATTAATTATGGTCTTATTCTCTACAGACATCAAAATCCTTCCTTTCATCCACTTGAACATGGATAGCTACACTTTAAAACAATTTCAAGAACATAATCTCATCAGCATTCATAGTAAACCACAAACTATATGATTTGCACTACATCGCTAAAGTACATATAGTAAGTTTTGCAATGGTTTTGAATACCATTAAATGAAAATTTTAAAATTTTCAAAACAAGAGAAAGCCATTACTAATTTTTTTTAAGGAGTAATTAGTTACTTAAAAACTTATTTTTTTAATAAAACAATAAAATGAGTTTAAAATTTATTAAAAAGATATTTTGATTACGAAAAATAAAATTAAATTCGAAAGTATGATTACGTGCAAAGAAAGGTTAGCTCTTTTATAATACCCATTTTAAAAATGGTGCCAACTAATCACGTGTTATCTTTAATATTAATAAAAATGATCTTAATTCTAATATTTAAAAATAATTCCTTTAATTTTATTTTTTTGTGAAAATCTTTTTTCCTTTTATTTAGGAATAAAATGAAAATCTTTAGTATGAAATATTTTCTAATTCTCTAATATCTAAGCAAAATTATAAATAATATTTTTCTATTGGGATTTTCATGATAATCTGTGAACTCTGATTATAATATTCTTTTATAAAGAATAATTATTGAAAAGCCCTCCAATATCTTACAGGGTTCTAAAAATTATTTTTACTTAGAAATATTAGTTTTTATTTTAAAGCAATTCTCTAAAAATACAATTTATTAATATATATTTCTTTTAAAATGATGAAATGCAAGTAAATATAATAGGAAGAAAATGGATAATGCAAATACAAATTAATAATGCAAATGATTAATTTGATCTATCTTATACATATTTAATTTTATCTTTTTTTTATTTAGGAATAAAAAGAAAATTCTTAGTTTAAAAATATTTTCTAAATTTTTCAATAGCTAGGCAGAATTATGAAAAGAATTTCTCTACACAAATAAACTCTTTTATCATTTTATATTTAAAGGTAAGTTGCTTTTATACCACTCCAATTTCCAAATGATTTTAGATTGAATGTCTGTCTTAAAATTTAATAAGGTATCAGAGCCCAAGTTAAGTTTTGTTGTTCCGTATTATTACTTTTACTTGTTTGCCTTTTAAAGTTTGTCATGAGGTAGACTTATGCCTACACATTATGGGCTTGTTAAATTATTAGGTTTTCTATATTTTTATATTCAAGTTGAACCCCTTCACCAATTGCCAATTGGTTTTATGTTGGATGTCTATCTTAAAATGTTATAATAAAAACCACAATATGGAATCATTTTCTCAGTTGCCTCCAAATCAACATTCAATAAAACTTTTGCAATATTAAGGCTTTTAACAAGATAATATAATGGGTTGTCATCTAAAATTATGAAAATAATATATGATTCTTTTAAATAAGGTGACCTAACTTTTTCTTTATAGTTCTTGAGCTTTATAAACTAATGAGCTATAAAATATAAAATTACATCAACTACTTCAAATATCTTTATAAGTTTGCATATGTTATAATGATCTCATTCTTCAATTGTGACATAACTATCATTATAAAGATTAAACGTTATACAACCATTCACTTTCATTAATGTATAGTGTTGTTCAACTTGAATAACCTTTAAATTAAACTCATATTTGGAACTTTTTTAAACAACTCATTTTTTCCCTTCCCATGTTAACTTTTCAACTAGAGCCGTCGTGCTTCCTTATTAGCTATAAAGTTGCCAATAAACTAGGTGTTCAATTCCTCATATTTATTAACAACAACTTTTTTAATCTTTTTTTACATTGGGGGTGTCGTTTCGGGCATGCTCTCATTGTTGTTACAGAGTATAGCATATTTATTTTAATTTCGACGAAGTCATCTTCGAGCATAGTTTTGCTAGGCTTCATTTTGAATTCTTAAAGGTATTAGTAGATAAAAAAATATAGCTCTTTACTCTTTTTTTCATGACGCATAGCAATGATTTCTTCATTTTTCACCATTATTGACATGGTTTAATTTCTCTAGTTTGTTCAAGTTTGAATTGTGGATGATATAACCTCCTTCATAAAATAGAAAAAAAGTTTTCATTTGGTAGATATGACAGATTTGTATGAGAGATTCTGAATTTATAGACTAGTACTCTATAAAGAAAAATCCTTAGCTAAGCCGAACCAATTAGTTTTTTAATAGTTACCAACTGGTCATGGTAACTATTCTGTCTAATGGAGAGCTAATTCGATTGTGAGACTAACCCTTAAATAGGCAATTGTTAGTCTTCTCATGGACTAGTGTTGAATAATAGGATTTATAGAAGAACATGTTTATCCCCTTATGCTTAAAGATAAGTTAGTCTTATAGCACACCAATTGCCAATTAGTTTTAGATTGGATGTCCACTTTAATATTTAACATGGTTAGAGCCTAAGTTATATTCTATTGTCCTCTTTTGTTGCTCTTATTTATTATACTTTTCAAGTTTGTCACAAGATAGGTTTGTGTCTCAATCTACACATACTGGTGCATGTTAAAGTGGCATTATCTCATTTTTGTTAAATTATTAGATTTATTGCAGTCTTATATTCAAGTTAGGCCTTTTCACTAATTACCAAATGGTTTTATGTTGAATGTCCATCTTAAAATTTAACATTTCTCAATAAAAATCACAATATAAAGTCATTTTCTTATTTGCCTCCAAATCAACATTTAATGAGACTTTTGCAATATTAAGCTTTTCAATAAGAGAAAACTAATGGGCTGTTATTTAAAATTTATGAAAATAATACATGTTTCTTTTTAATAAAGTGGCCTAACTTTTCATTATAACTTTTTGAGTTCTATAAATCGTTGAGTTATAAAAATACAAAATTACATCAACTACCTTGAACATCTTTACAATTTTACATATGTTATAATAATCTCGTTTTTTAACTTTAACATGGGCACCATTATAAAGGTTAAACATTACACAACCATCCATTTTCATTTATGTGTAAAGTAGTCGAGCTTGAATAATCTTTGAATTGGACTCATATTTAAAACTCTTTTAAATAACTCATTTTTGCCCAATCCTTTATTAACTCATTAGTAAGAGCTATCATGTTTTCTCATCAGCTGTAATAAACTAAACGTTATGCTTTTCATATTCATAAATTACAACTATTCTTGTCTTTTTTACATTAATGGTGTCATTTTGAGCCTATTCCCATTGTCGTTATAAAAGTAAAGCATATTTATTCTAATTTTAGCGAAGTTATTTTCGAGCATGGTTTGCTAGTTTTCATTTTGAATTCTTAAAGGTAGTAGTAGATCTAAAAGCACAGCTTTTTTTGCGCTTACCTTCACTAAGAGACTCTATTACTCTATTTCTTTAACTTGCCTTTATTAACATGACTTAATTTTTCTAACTTGCACAGCTTTCATATTTTACCTTTATTAACATGACTTAATTTCTTTAACTTGTTCAAGTCTAAATAATAGACGATCTAACCTCTTTTATAGGAGAGGAAAAAGATTTTCGCTTAGTAGACATCATAGATTTGGACAAGAGATTTCAAGCTTATAAACTAATACTCTAGAGATAAAAATCATAAAACCAAGCTGAATTGATGGTATTTTTACAATTTAAACTAGTGTCAATAACTATTCTCTCTATTTAAAAGCTAATTCTACTATGAAATTAACCTTAAGTTAGGTGATTGTTAATATTCTCATGGACTAGTGTTGAATAGTGGGTTCATAAAAAAACACATATATTATTTTATGCTTAAAGATAAGTTGCTTTGATACCATACCTATTACCAAGTAGTTTTACGTTAAATGTCTATCTTAATATTTAATATGATATTAAAGCCTAGGTTATGTTTTTATTATACTTTCTTATTATTATTGCCTATTACCTCTTTCAAATTTGTCACGAAGTAAGTTTATGTCTCCCTCTACATGTCATGATGCCTATTAAAGTGGCATTATCTCATTTTTGTTAAATTATTGGGCTTTTTTATAATCTTATTCAAGTTAGGCCCTTCCACCAATTGTTAATTGATTTTATATTTGATGTTTATTTTAAAATTTAACATGTTACAATAACAATTATGGTATGGAATCATTTTTTTTATTTGCCTTCAAATTAACATTCAAGAAGATTTTTGTAATATTGAGCTTTTCAACAAGATAATCTAATGAGTTGTCATCTAGATTCTATAAAAAGAATACAAGCTACTTTTTAATAAAATGATTGATTGTTGCATTTTAGCCTGCAAGTGCACATATTGCATTCAAGTAATAAAGTAGTGAGTAAATTATTATTCTCTTGAGGATTAGAATATAGGTGTTTGAAAATCAAAACTAAGTACCAAAATGAGTCTTTCAACCTTATATTTAAATAAATCAAACTTAATAGAGAGTGATTGAAGCAAAATCGAAACATTACTAACGAGTGTAAAAGGAAATGAAATGGGCCAAATAGCGAACAAATGACAAGAGTGAAGTCAAGATTCTCCAAAGACAGAACAAAGCTTAAAACAAGAGTAATGAAACTGTAAAGGCCGATTGCAATGCTAAACAAGATGGGAACTTGCTAGCAATGGTGGTGGCCGAATAGAACAAGAAAAGAAAAGGCAAATTTGCAACAAAATGTATATGGTAATGGAAAGTAAGAAAACTAAATGCTTTAGGAGAATTAGGAGTGACTGAACATTAAGAAAATAACAAGTTGCAAAAATGTAAATGGAGAGCAAAACCGAAAGCTTAAAAAGAACTTAAAAATAAACTTAGTTGCTTGAAATGTAAAAGATGAAAGCTTTGAATAAAACTTAACATGAGCTTGTATTGAAATAAAAAAGGTTGAAAAACAAAAAACCTTTGGCTAGTCTATCACCTTAGCAAAATGGACTAAAAGAAAATACAAAAAAGATAGTGAAAACCAAAACTGAAAAAAAGAAAAAAAAATATAAGAAGAGGGATGCTCTACAAGTGAGTTAGAGTGGCTCGGGTCAAGGAATGAACGTACATACTTTCATTTTAGCTCAAACACTTTTTAAATTAAAAAATGTGATCTTTTTTAGTTCAAATAGGATAGTTGAATGGATAATGATTTTATGTGAAGTGAAACTTGTGAGGCCAAGTGTAGTCTTGCATTGATCAACTTGTGCTGACCTTGCTTATGTGTCTATGCCATATCAAACTCATTTGACTTTTGAATATGGATATGAGAGGATTATTTTAAACCTTAAACCCATTTTAAAATTTTCTCATGGATTACTTTTTCTTTTCGTTGACTAAAAGTAAAAAGCTTGAATTATAAAAAAGTACATTCCACTTAAGTCCTTTAGTTTTAAATATAATTCAACATAAGTCCATTACTTTAAAAAATGAATAATTTGCCCTAAAATTTTTAATTTCACAAGACAATTAGGTTTTTCCATGTTAAAAATCTCATTTAAAGAATATTTTAACCTTAAAAAGTCAATATTCTCAAATGCTCACATAAAATGATATTTTAAAATAATAAATTTTTTCTCAAAATAATATCAAATTTATTAATAATGAAAAATTTAGATACAACATATAAAAACAAAACTTACAATTATAAATATGCTAATATGTAGACATATGTCTAATAAAATAAAATACATTAAGCATGTAATATTATTTTGACATGTAACAATTTAATAAACATGAATAATATAATATGAAAAAGGTTGGTTGAAAAGAAAATGATTACAATTGTATATCTGTTAATTCATTTTTAGTTATTATAGTACTCGTATATATTTTAAGCTTAAATCTACTTATTTGTGAAAATGTAGTAATGACAAAATTATTCATTTTAAATTAAAAATTATTTATAATAAGTAAATCCAAGTTAAAAGTTATAATGTTTGAATACAAATAATTTTTGTTATTATATATTCAATAAATATATAAAATAAAAAATAATATATATATAAATACAATAAATTTTGAAGGGTAATTTTATAACTGCATAACAAATTGGGGTGGATCATCTATTCTTGAAATTATTGTAGTTATGTTAAATTATGTTCAAAACTGAAAGATCTGAATGAAATTAACCTATAATAAAAAGCTAACTCGGCAATCTAATGAGAAACTTGGAAAAAGAAAAAAAAAAAAAGGGGGGGGCCGAGGACCCTAAGAGCACTACACTAATCTAGGGTACCAACAACGACAGGCAGATATATCAGTCGGAGAGAAAGTGGGGAATTTGGAATGACTTGTGGGAAAGTAAGAAATGGGGTTTTATAGGGGCTTTTGGAATTATCTTTGCTCAAATATGTCCTTTAGATTTTAGGGCAAATCTGCTGTTAAGTATAATTTGATCTTAAATGAGACTTAAACTAATACAAAATGCCTTTTATCTTTAGACCTCTCTCTCTCTCTAACATCTGTTTATGTGAAGAATAAGTGTGTTTCACCAATCAACCAGGAACAAAAGAGGGACAGGGATGGATTATGATTAAAAACTGATTCATACAACATGAAACTTGAAAATAATGGCCTGTCTATCTTATTCAGGTATAAGATGGACTAGCATTGTCATATGTTTAGCTAAACAGATATAAAAGAAAGGTAGAAGATGACCTTTTGTATTACTAGCAAGAAGGCAAAACTTATCATTTTGACATCTTAGCTGCCAGTTCTCTTACAAGCTTAGCAGAAACCATTGCAGTCATCCCATCAACAGTGTCACGTTGTGGGTTGAACTCTACCACATCTGCAGCAACGATGTTGCCTTGGAGGTTGTGTAGGATGTTCAGAACTTCGCGAAAGGAAAGGCCTCCTGGTTCAATGTGAGATACCCCTGGAGCAAAGGCAGGATCAAGACAGTCCACATCCACTGATATGTACACGCCTTTTACTCCTTCCCCCAGTTTCTGTCAAAAGAATGCACTATTAGCTGTATCATCCACCAAACAAACAGCTTTTCTAGTGTTCAATTCAAAATGAATCCATTTTAACATTTGTAACAATTTATGCTATGAAGTTGATGAGTGAAAACATATTAGCCATGTGCAGGAAGAAAGATACACAAGGACGGGAAAAAGACACATGAGAAATTACTAAGAAAAAGGAGTTGAGAATGAGAGAGACCAGGTTTTCCAAGAAATGACGGTCTCTTGAAAATGTTCGCATTTCATATTGCTCCACTCCAAACCTTTTTCCTTGTTCCCGCCCTTCAGTTGTTATTGATCTGATTCCAACCTACAATTACAGCATTTCAGCCAATTAGGTTCCAAACAAGACATATCATCCCTTTTGTGCATTTGGTAATGAGGGACTATAAACAAAATGGATGAAACAACTAAAACAACCTGTAAGAAAACTCATCATTCCCTCACTGAGGAACTGGAGGCACTATAAAGTATAAACACAGCTTTTCAAAAAGTAGGTAAAGAACATACATGGGTGGCAAAAATTAGAGAATTGCAAAGTCACCACCTCAAATCCAAGATATACATCTTAGAATAAGAAAGGGAAAAATACATCTGGAAAACAGTTGGAGTCATATTTGGTCTAGAACTATTTGTTGGATAGGAAAATATAAAAGCCATTGATACCCGTATATTGAACAAAAAAGTTACCTGCAAAAGGCGTCTAGCATAACCACCCTCCATAATTCGTGCAAAAGAAGATGCATGTGAGTACTTATTTCCTTCAAAGGCATCATAAATATCGGGATGGGCATCTAAATGAAGTACATCCACAGGTCCACCAAGCTTCTCAGAGACAGCTCTTACAACAGGAAAAGATATTGAGTGGTCACCGCCTAAAACTAAAGGGCGTAATGGATCCTGAAAAGCATGGAAATTGAAAGAGTTGAGATTCACCTATTTGAACCAGGAGGTACTAGGAAGATAATCATGTATTGATTGCAACCAGCATATAGATATAAGGCTCCCTGAACACCACTGATCTTCTATCTAGACAAAAAGCTTTGGCGAGAAAGACCTCCATAAGGAAGACCAACAAACTAGTGGAAAGCAGGAAGAAAACAATAAACTAAACTAGTTTCAACCTATTTAAACCACATAGATGATCACAAGGTTGTTTCTAGAGACAAAGTTCAGCAATTCAACTATTTGCCCAAGTAGTCCAAATACCAAAACAATCATCATAATTAGTCATAGTAATTCTGAAGAAAGAAGCCAAACAGACACTCACCTCCTTCATTACTAGCTTGACAGATTCACTTATGACTTTCATCAATCTATCATCATCCACACCACAATCACGGATTTCTTGGACAGGGACATCACCAACATCAGTTAGCACCCGTGGATCATTTAGTTGCTTTCCTGCATGACCAAGGAAAAGATTGAGAATATTATTAAGGAGTCATGCAGGAACTATTTATAATTTAGATTCCAAATGTCAGCCAAGTCCGTTGCAATGATGATCAGAGTAGTTAAAACTCTGCCAGAAACAGAACAGAGCAAATATTAAGGTCATAAAATCAGGAGCACAAGTGAAGGAGATAGGAGATCGGATACTTCATATCAGTACTAATAATCAAACAAACCATTCCACATGTCATAGATATAAGTTCTTGTAAAAAAAGAAAGAAAAAATCTTATCAAGGGCAGCATAATAGCGCTGGTAATTTTAGACGTGACACAATGACAACACGAAAACCATATAAAATGAAGATATAAAAGCGATATGATTTAAAATTTTGACAAAAATCATAATTGATATTGACAAAAACCAAAAAATATATTTTGTAGTTGGCATATCAATATGAATTATGACATGAAAATTTTTTTATTCTACAAACGAAACAAACACGATTTGGTTCACAAATTAGCAGGTCTTCATCATAGAGGGATTTTGAAGTGTTAGTTTGAAAGGAAGTTGAGGCAGCTACCTTCTTCAGTGGTTGAGTTAGTGCTGTCACACCAGATCGCCTCCCTGATTCGAGGAGGAGCAAAAGCTGGCCCTTGAAGAAACGATGAGTTATGCCCTAAGGGAACTCCAAGCAGAGATGTGGATGCGACAGCACCTCCTAAAGCACGCACAAGTTGTCCCTAGTAATTTATAAATTTCACATTAATTGATACTCGAAATGAATTAATGAGGCAATTAAAGAATCAATTACCTTGAGCTTCGCCCTCTCGCGAATAAGGGTAAGAGAAGCATCTATTACACAATTTTGGCCCTTTTCTATCAAATCGGAAGGTATATTTGCGGCTTTTAGTTTCTGCAAATAATGAATTCCTCTCCGCCCTATCCCTATGCCTGAGCCTGACATGTCTGCAAAACCCTGTAAAATCATGGAGTCTGATCGGTGATAATGATGATGATTTAATCAAACACTATTTACTTATGAACTTCATTAAATTAAATCACAGGGAAAAGGAAAAGAGAAGCAGATAAGTGGTGGCATTTGTGTTTTGTACCTCGCAGAGGGAGAACAGGAAGAGAGAGACGGACGAGAGTGAGTGGAAATGAGGAGATGCTGAGATCCAGAGGGCTCACTCCATTTTTGATGATAATAATAATAATTGGCGATTAGCCTTAGCTTTGGCTTTTTCAGTTGCAGACAGAAAGCAGAAGCAAAAAGCAGCAACTGCAGATTGGATTAAAGATAATAACAAGATTAGATCCCCATTTATTTAATCCTTTTTTAAGTAATGAAGAAAGCAATTGGAATTGGAAAGAAGCCGCATGCAGCTTTGCTTGCTTTGTATGGCCAGCTCAACGCCAAAGAAAGAGTAAAGAATCGACCAAAATAGATTGACATAAAATTATTGATGCCTGTATTTTTCGTGATTTGCCGAGTCGCATGGATGGCAGATCGAACGCCCCAACTAACAAATCCCCGGGCGGAATTTTGGAATACCAACATCACACGCTCCAATGTGTAAAGCGGCGCCCAGACACAGGCGCATCACTCACTAGTCACGCTCGCACCTCTATGCATGCACCTGTGAGCCGTGACATATGGGCTTTTTCCCTGGAAATTGTACGACAGTCAAAATCCAGAAAAGACCTAAACTAGAAAAACAAGCATAAGCAACAAATCTATCTATAACATAGTTATCAAAACCAGATTCGAATGGATGATCCAACATTTAAATCGATCAATTCTTATTTTAAATCAGACTTACAATTACCTTACTTTAAATCATATTGAACTATCGATTAATTGCTTGGGTTTTGTTGAATCAGTCAAAATTTAAATTTATCAATAAAATAGCCTTCAAAATTATAATTAACTTAATTTTATTAGTTTTAAATTGATATTTATTTTAAATTGATAAAATATTAAGATTAAATTTTATAATTTAGTACTTGCTTCTAAATTGATAAATCTATATGCACTAAATAAATAATTATGTTTTGTTTGTAAAATTAGATTAAATCACTTTAAATTCAAAAAGTGAAATTTTACAAGTAGTTTTTTGAATAAAATATTATTTAAGATAAAAGCAAACATTTTCTCTATTAAAATTAAGTTTTACACACAATTAAAAAAAAAATATCGATCCCTTTTTAGGATAGAATTGATTCTTTGTTAACAAAAAAAAATGGATCGATTTTTTTATAAAAAGATCTCGAATATAAAATTAACAAAAATGGATAGAATTATTATGAAAATGGATTAATCGATTTTATTATAGAAAGATTTCAAATTCAAAATTTATAAAAATAATTCGATTCATATAAAAATGGATTGATTTTTTTTTTTAAATTAGATCGATCCATTAATAAAAAAAAATAAAGATCAATCGATTTTTATTATAGAAAGATTTTAAAATTAAAATTTATAAAAATAAATCGATTCATATGAAAATGGATTGATTATTTTTTTAAATTAGATTGATCAATTGGTAAAAAGAATAAATTAGTAATTTTTTTAGAAACTCAGTTTGGCTTGAAAGGCCAAAATGGATTGATTCTCTCCAAATGATCATGACAACTTCGAACACTCGTATTTTTTTTTTCAAAGGCATTCAATACATTAAATGAAAGCAATAGCTATTTTCTTATTTTTATTCTCCACCGTATTATGAAGGATCAAGAGTCAAGATAAAATGATTGTTATCCACTTTTTATCTTCTTTAAGCATTCAAAGAGTAAGTAATGTTTTTAAGAGCATAACTTCTTACTTTGTATTCAAATCCTCTTATTATTATTTATACATTTTATTTGTATTTTGACTTAATAAACATCCAATCTTAAAGAAATTATTTTTTTTAAGTTTGCAAAACACGTGTTTAATTATGAGATTATGAACTTGAGAGAGGTATAACCCTTGAATAGTTCTTTAAAGAACTTAGGAAAATCATTAAGAGATTCATAAATTGATTGTATTAATAACTTTGGAAAACATGTTTGTAATATTCAACATATAGTTAGATTTGGTAACCAAATGTTAAAATTTCTGATAAACCAATTCACTTTTTCTTAATTTATTCAATACTTTGAACTAACAATTAGTATAAAAAATAGTACTCTAATTTGTAAGTTTAGCAAACTAGGAATGATCAAAATAGCTCAAAGCAATGTTGTACTAAGTGGTGAGAACTAACAAAAGTTCTTGCAATTGAAATGTTACTGTTTGAGACTTTTGTTTAAGATGTCGAATCCATTTTATAGCTTCAAATTGATGGCTTTCGATGCTCGATCTTCAGTTTACAGACATTTGAATCATTTTAGCTGTTCCTTCCGGCTGTGTTCATTCACGTCCTCATTGTATAGGATTGCATCTTCAAGCAAACAAAACAGATGCCAAAAGCGTGTGCTATCTCTTACATACAGCCAATCTGGGGAAGAAAAAGATTCATGGAAGGTTAATGTTAGCTTCCTTTCAAGAACCCCATCCAACTATACAAACCAAATTCCTGCATGTGACATGCAAGCAAGCGAACAAATCCCTCCAGAATATTTCACAAAATAGGAAGTCTCACGACCCCAAATCAGTGTTACATTTCAATTTCTGCATGATGCGGCTATGATCAAATATGTTTTCGAGGGTTGCTTGCAACTTGCTTTTGCCAGTGAAAACAGTCGAAGAACCTCGGAGCAAGTTTCTCACAAGGAAGCAAAGTGCAAAACGTTTTTAAGAATCACTGTACATAAACATTGCAAATTTTATTGGTTCCTGACTTCTGGAGACGTGCTTTACGTACAGCCTGCTGGATTTGTTTCTCATGCTCTTTAAGTATGTCATCAATGTTTCCCCCAGGAGGCATCAGTGGTCCAGAGCAATGGATCCTGTTTTTCCTTGGTACATAACCCTGAAATAGCACAGTTAAAGAATAGTTGAGGACATTTTGATTATTACTTACTAGAGAAATCCATCAAGAAAATCACAAAGATATAATTTGGTGACCTTAGTAACTTTACTAGAGATAGGGAAAATGAAAAAACAGTGGAGATTACAAAAATGTCTAATTTATGCAATAGACACTTTATAGAGCTTTGTTAACTGAGGAAAAAATGCAAAAATATGATGACAATTTATATAACCTAAAAATCTCCAATCCTTCTCACAATCTCAGCTATTGTCACAATATGATGCATTCAGTTTAACAGATTAAAATATGCAGATTTATTCTACAAATGACGCTCAGGCACTTGCAGATTGCCAAGACATGATAGTCTCTAAGTTGGCTAGAACCATTTTTATTAAAACCAATATTTGTTAGAGATTTTCAAATAAATAACTAAATATATTAGTTAGAGGTTTCTATCAGAAAATCAACGTTTGGCACACCTAATGTTACACGAACCCGTCTAAACATGTCAGATACTTACACAGACACCATAAAAGAATTTCACTTCATTGGCACGGAACTTGTCAAATTATGAGAGCACATATTGTTGGTGAAAATCTTGCGGTTAGAAAGATGTAATATCTAATATTTTCCATGACCATTATTTTAGCCTATGAATTCATGCGTTGGGTTCCATATCTTGTTCAATGTATCTATTGATGATTTTTATGATCTGACCAAAGAATGATAGTGATGATAATGACGACGATAATGATGATAACAATAATTGTTAGAATAAGGAAAAGTAGGCAGAAACAGGTTATTTACCGATGCAAGATCTTTGTCGGATGCTCCATTATCTTTCTTATTGGAAGCATTAACTGCCTGAGGCTTCAATGAATTATGTGGTCTTAGTTCGCCATTATTTCTTGTAGAACCTGCCTTATTCCATGATCCTATTGCACTAGGGTGGATCATTGACGAGGAATGAGATAAGCCATTCTGCGAAGTGACCTTATGTGGATCAATTCGGAAGCCAGAGGCACCATCCTCAAGATGGTCATATTTATGACCGGTGATTGTTTTTGGCTGTCCCTGGGCAATGAATTCCGGTGTCCGCACTCCCTTAAAATCCCTTGAACCTCTTCTAACAGATTCAGGTCTGCGTCCCTTCACAGCCTCTGCTCTTTTCCTGAAGTTACATGATAGAATATAGATTTAGAAAGATGGGCTCAAAAATTTTCCAATGATGAAAAAGAGAAATGTATGGAAGATCACTTCATTATTCTGGTCTTTTCATTCTTAGGCATCCATCAGCATGGGATATATGCATCATAAGATTATAAGGTTAAGCCAATTGGATCGAAATTTGCAGTATATGAAACACACAAACAGGATATAACTACAAATACAAATAATGAACTAAGAAAAGAAAACTATAAAAAGTTAAGGATATGTAATGGTAAGCATAACCTAGTAAGTAAATGTATTTTCCTTTTCTCAGGCTGCTTTCTAATATTAGTAACAATTTTATAATCAAAAGCTATCAAATTTTCATCTCATAAACATTCTTTTGTTATACATGAGGCAAAAGTGATTGATATGAATTTCTTATATTTTTTTTCTGACAATTTTGTGGTAATCCATATTTGCTTTTATGAGCACACAGGACTACATAGCACACAGCATGCATTTGTGTATGCATAGGTTTCATAAACGGTGAGGGTTTTCAAATAGCAACAACATACCTTCTTGCTTCCTCACCACGATGTTTGGCATCTAGTTCTTTGCTTGGAGGATATTTTGGTAGTGTTGATGGATCACAAGGGAAAGGATCTGTTCTGAAGAACTGAAAAGGAGATAAAAATAGTAAAAAATGTATTTTAAAATTCCAATTGATAATTCAAGCAATCGAATCAACAGCGTAGCACAAGAAGATTAAAATTCACATCAAGCTTTTTATTCATCTTTCAAGAAGTGGAGAAAATACTAAGCAGCCATGGAAAGGCAAATAGATGGTTGTCTAAATACCTCACTTCTAAGTGCTGAAGCAATGGATCCTCGATCTTCCGGTTCCATTGCAAGGAGTTTATCAACAAGAGACAAGGCAGAATGCGGAAAGTTTCTGAAAGTCTCAGCAACACAGCGCTTGTAAGGTTGTTGTGGTTTGAAACTAGTTGCATGTGGAAGTTTTGTTTTCTGCCAGTACTCCTCAGAAGGTGAACCACAGAGCTTAAAGATCTTATGCATTTGCTCCACCTGGAAATAATCAGAAAAAGAAAAGCAAATAATCACCAAAAAAACATGGAAATAGGCATATGAATCTTTTAAGAGAGCTAATCCATCTAAAGAAACTACTACTAACTAGGATAAGTTCACTCTTATAACTCGGCCCTACTCAACAGCCTAAATCTCAAACTAGCTATTCTTTTCACTCCATTCAGCTCAATCTAAGCTATATTTTGTGATAGAACTAAAATACTTGTTTACTAACCATTAGAATCTTTCTCCTACCTCTACCTCTCTTTGTTTCTTCTCTGTACATCACATTATCCTATCTACCGAAACCTCTCTACGTTAAGTGCATTGTCAATGGGAACAACTTTGTTCAGATAAAGCAACACAAACGTCAATAGGCAGGTACAGGACCTAATGAAGAGAATGGTGTTGAACAGTGTGCATTATGCTATATACAATCAATAACCTTGTCTAACATAAAGTTGAAGGACAAAACCCAGATAGAAAAGGATGAACAGGTGTAATAAAGAACAACATGGAAACCAAAACAAAAGAAGAAAGAAGGAAAGAAAAAGAAAGTCTTTGAAAGCTTCTTGACTGTCAGGGATTCTTTTTCTGACATCAGGAAAGCATCTTTGTCAGTGGAAATTGAACCATATTGAAGAATTATTATTGCAGGAATTCAAGCAGATTGCAGGATTCCAATATTAATTTGATGCTGGAAGATACTTTGGAACTAAAGTATTATAAAAACAATAGAAATAGTAAACAAGCATGCTGCAAAATCAAATGTTGGAAGAAATTTAGAAAGCAATAAATGGAGAGTGGTCAGTGAAAATTGAACCATATTGCAGAATTATTAAATGGTTTCAATCAATATTTATATGTATAACACAAGAGTACTTTAGAATGGGGTTTTTCATCAAAATGTAGGGGACAGTTCCACTTTTCTGCATATCTAGGCTTTTGAAATTTAAGAAATAAAGAAACTTAAAATATTCACATCAAGAATTAAAGAAGCAAGCTAATGTATACACACTGTTCTATTTATCTATCCTTCATCGCCACAATGATTCTTTGCAGGTAATTGCAGAATAAAGCCACTGAAACTTTGTCATGTGATAAATCAATTGTCCTGAAAGCAAAAATTGTTATTACCATTTTTATTAGAGGTAATGGTTTTCTTCCCTGCAGCTTCATCTTCTTTTCACTCTGGAACAATTTTGTACTTCTACTTATAAACCTGACTTTTCCATAACTTTTTGTTTAGGTTTGTTTTGTTTTGATTTTCTTCTCTCTTTTTTTCTTTGTTTTTACCCTTTCAATCAGTTAGTATTCTTCTTCAGAAGAGAAACCAAAATGAAAGTGCATTTTGCAACAATATGCAGAATATTTTTGCAGTCAAATCCCAACACATAAAAGAGAGGCTACCTCTGTTCTTCCAGGCATAATAGGCTTCCCAGCAAATAATTCAGCAAGGATGCAACCAGAACTCCACAAATCTATGGCAACTCCATATTCAGTGGCCCCAAGCAAAAGCTCAGGTGCTCTATACCAAAGAGTTACAACACGACTTGTTAGTGGCTGCTTTTGATCAGCCTGAAAAAATGTAGCTAGACCAAAATCTCCAATCTTAAGAACTCCATTGTTGTCAATCAGAAGATTTGAGCCCTTGATGTCTCTGTGCAAGACACCACGGCTATGGCAGTGTTCAAGGCCACGAAAAAGCTGTTGCATGTAACATTTAATCTACAGAAAAATCACATATGCCTCTTATAAGACCAACAGCAAATATAACACAAGTAAGATGTATTATTAGCATTGTAAAAATATGAGAGAAGGAAAAAGCTGTAATGAGAGTGAACAGATTACTACTTCCTTATACAAAGTGTACAGATTATAAGGCATGTTTAGCACGTGTATTGAAGTCTCCATCAAATTGGCGCTGTTCTGGCATTGCTTGACTGGTAGATTTTAATCACATAATTTTGCTGCTTCCCCGAAGTGAATTTAATTTAAAGAAAAATAAAGAGAGAGGAAGGAAAGAGAAAGTAGGAAACTATTTAAGTTTCATAAGCCCAGATTCCCAAAACACTTCAGGTTAAAGATAAACCCAATGAAACATTGAATTAATTGCCATCCAACAAGATATTATACCCGAAATAAGTAATAAATAGAGAAGCATGTACCTGTGGTTCAGTGAACTTGATGCCAGGAGTTGCTGCAAGCCCAGCAAGGTCATGCTCCATGTACTCAAAAACAAGATACAAGCTGCATGACATCCTTGAAGTGACTAGAGCCTCAAGCTTCATAACATTTGGATGGTCAAGCTTCCTTAAAATAATGATTTCCCTAGCCATAAAACGGACGCTTTCAGGATCCATATTAACAAACCGAACCTTCTTCATGGCAACAATTTTGCCCGTTTCTAGGTCTCGGGCCTTGTATACACTGCTATAAGTTCCTTGTCCAATCTGCATACACAACTTACTATGTTGGTGTGGGCAACAAAAAATCATGTAAAGCCCCAGCTAGTTTAACATTCAGATGATAAAATTTTGTAGCAAACAAGAGAATCCAACATATGTGCGCTAACAGCTATGCATGACACAACCTAAAACAATTTGCAGAAACAAAGATGATTTGAAACTTATAAAAGCAAAATTCTTTAAAAGATGGTGCTATTCCAATATCAACCTGCATCAAATGCTATGCTCGACCAACAATTACTGCAATTCATCCTTCATATTCACCAGCTAATCAGCACGAATGAAGCCCTTGTAATATGTCAATTATTGCTCTTAAAATGGAATGGACACAATTATCAAACAAAAGGACAGAGGAATTAAATTTGAATTATTATTCAAAATGCTTCCACACATGCATCTGCATCATCAATTGTATAGATCTGTATACACAATCATGGGAGAAATTTTAGGAGGGCAGAGCTCCACTAGATTGATGTAGGTTTTCTTCTCCATGATACTTAACTAACATGAATGCATGCACAATTAAAGATGCTCATTTGTAACTGATCAGTACCAAAAATTTGCTTGGCAATGTAATTTTTACCATTGCACCAGAGACTTTCCTAGTCCACTTCTTCGAGATATTTAGAACTTTTAAAGAGAATTGGTAATCCAATTATTCATGCCTGCTCCATTTAAAATCTTTACCTTTATTATCATCTTTCGTATATTACTGAACTAGTGTTCATGAAGTTGAATATCATTGCACGTGCAGATGAATGAAAATGGAAGTTATAGGAAGAAGGATTTAAAAAGCCCTCATATAACTATGATATTTATTTATGCAGCTTCAAAAGAACTTCAAATTCCATGAAGAAACTACCATCCCAATTTGAAGAGATGATTGATCCTACAATGCTCAAGATATTTGATCCAATATTACTAGATAAGAACCAAAAGAAGATAAGGAAAAGCAAAAAATGAACTGACTAGAGAGAGGCATGTAAAAGAAATCTTTGATGAGGACTAATTACTTTCTCTAACTTGTCAAAAGATTCCACCCGCCGAGGCAGCCATCCAGTGGCAGCTTCTCCTGCAACTGAAACTAACCATAATGGCCATCCGGCAGCAACTAGTTCCCCTTCAGTCCCACACGGGGAGCTAGTTATACTAATCATCTGTGGCGACACCCCTGCCCCCATATCCATTGTTGGCAATATTTGATGGCCATTTCTGGGCCTTTCTGCAGTCAACGATTTCTTCTGATCTCCTTCATCAACTTTGGAAGCAAGACATGCGGAGCCATCATTGCCACCTCTACTAAGTAAAAAATCTTCTTTCTGTGGTGGTGCAGGAGCAACCAATTGCACTGATGCCTTGTTGTTGCTCTTATTCAAGTCTTTCTCTTTGTCATTCTCGTTAATGTTCTCATCCTGGGCTCCTTTTGAGCAAAGGCAGCCCATATTCTGCTCTCAACAATTCCTTGTTTTTGACTAGTTGTTCTGCCACAAATATGTACAAAAGACAAACCCCCCACCCCCCTCAACGATGTTTTAACCATACATTAAACAAAAGGGAAACCCTGAATAAATCCTGGGATTCCCAGGTCCACCATTGTGTTTCCAAATTCCAACCCCACAAGATTATTTCTCAACCATTTTCAGTCCCACCAAGCATTTAAAACCGTTTGTTGAGAATCAAATTTGAAGTTTTTCTATATGAAACACCCAAATTATAAAGAGTGCCAACAATGAAACAATCAAAATCTGAGGAATTGGAGAATGATCAGAAGAAAAAAAAACATAGGAACAATATTTTCTAACAAATATCTAATGTTGGAAGACAAATGAGTAAACTGGTGGAAGAGAAAAATTAAAAAACTAAATGCCTGAGGGAAAGGAATGAAAATTCAGACAAAAAATCCCAGGAAAGAAAACAAAAAACTATCTTTTAAAAAAACAAAAAGAAAAAAGCAGGTTCTTTAGTGTTGGAATAGCAAAAACGAATGTTTTTGTTTGTCCAGGGACATAAAAGAAAGGACAGGGACGACATTATTGAAAAAAAAAAAAAAAAAAAGAAGAGAAGGTGGGTTTTGTGAGGTTGGGTCCTAAAACTGCGATAAACCAAAGATTTGTTGGGGATATGACAGACAGAGAGACAGTAGTGTGGTTTCTTGTTTCGCTCTGTTTTGCTGTTTCTGTTTTCACTCTCTTTGCTTTCTTTTTTTTTTTTTTTTTCAGACAAAAATTATTAACTTGTGGGTTTGTTAATCTCATTAGATGACTCAACGACGGAGGGAAAATTGAAAAAAGAAAAAGTGAAAAAAAAAAGAAGAAAATCTTCAACTCAACTGTTGAGCAAAGTCCAGACGTGCAGTGCAGTATCTGTTTTTGTGACTTATGTCATCTTTTTTCACTGTTTTCTGGCAAAATAAAAAATCATATTGACTGTGCTGGAGATGCCAATTTTTTTTCCTATGAGATATTATTTAATTAATAAAAATTATTTTTGTTTTACTTTAAATTTTTTTAATAGTTTCAAGCCTTGGATAGGATTTTTAAAAGGATGAGTTAGATTCGTCCTTTTACATTTCTAAACCTGTAACTGAAAACAAAGTTTTTTGAGATTTTTGCTGGACATGTATTTCCTTTTACGTGACAATTTAAAAAAATAAATTTTTTTAATTATAATAATATTTATTATTTATATAAAAAAATGTTTCTCATATTGGGATCATTCGTTGACACGGGATAAGTCAATCAATGATTCGGTTGGAGATAATTTTTTGTTTTTTAATTTTATAATAATACTATAATTAATTCAAGTAGTCTTTTTAAATGGCAGTTGATAATTTGTAGATGGGAATGCTAAGAGGAGTCACTCCTCACAGTCACCTTTAACGCTTGCTCGTTTAAAGGGTCACGTCATTTACAATTTAAGTTTTGGAATCGAAAACCCCTTATAACTTTTTTGTGGCAAAAAAAATTACAATCAACTTTTAATGCTCAGATCAATAGTCCTTAAGATCAAGAAGATGATTTTGGGTTTTTTTTTTTTTTTAAAATTGTTGAAAGTTTCATTTTTAGCATAATAATAAAATGTAATTATAGCATTTCAGTGATATGCAAGCTTTTAAAACAGTTAGACATTTTCTAGTAAAGTTGAAAGAGTTAAGCAACTGATATATAGAAGAATGCGAACATTAGCTGATGGATAGAATATCTATACATGGACATACCATAGATTGCATGAAAGAACTTCTAGGAAGGATCAATAAGCTGCAGGAAGAAAAAACAGAAGTGGGTAGTAATCAAGTGAGCGTAACAACAACCTGAAGGAGTAAAGCCAAATGAAGTGTTGGTGAGAAATTCCTCCAAGGTAGAGATTTCTGCTTCAGTTGTACATTAACCATTATATTGAACTTTGCATGAAGACAAAGTTTGATATAGAGAGGAGATAAATCGATACTCGAATTGACATCTGCTGTGCAACTAAACCAGGATTGCTACTATCTTCAGTAAACACATTGAAAGCATTAGACCTTGAGATTCAAGAGTGTGTTCTAAGTTGCTGCAATGATTTTTCAATGCAAGCTTCTAGTTAGGTGTGCTTCTTTATTATAATTTTTCCTCAAGTTTATGTTGATGTGTAAGCTTTAAACCCATCAACATTCTTTTCAATAAGTGTTTCTTCTAATTTATTAGGTAGCAGAGCAGGGAACATTGATAAGTTCTGATGACATAAAGCAAGCATTATTAAAAAAATGCAGACTATGGAAGAAGATGTCTGTAGAAAAGGAGGAGAACAAGATGGTCATCGAACAAACCCTAAAGAGACGAAATTTCTCCGAATTTGTTCTTCAAATATCTCTAAGGGCTGTAAAGCTGTAATAACATTTTCCTATTAATAAGCACTACTCAATACTCATTCATCAAATCCATCTCACAACCTACCATGAATTATTTATCTCCTGTTGGAGCATCTAACATTATTCTTTCTATAAAATTATTCAATTTGTGGATATGCGTAATTGAAAAAGAATTTTTTTTCAAGTTTTTAATGGAATAAAAAAAATGTATTTCGAGCAAAATGCAGAACTCGACCTTTTTTATTCTTTTTGCCAATAACCCGAACAATAGGCAACTGATTTTAAGTTTAAAAACTAATATTTCGTGGACCAATAGATGACAAAGTATTGAAAAGCGACTCTCAAAGCAGCTATCGCTAGCATTCCTCTTTTATAGGTAAACACTTATCCTGATTTGATAACGCTAATAAAAATTTTCAATACGTTAAATCTGAAAATTTGTGTGTATAACTATTTTTATTTTCTCTTGTCCTTTTTTAATTGTCAACATTTCCTACTCTGCAGCTAACTTCTACAGCTCGTCCAGCAGGGGTTCAGTTTTCCAAAGTCCTAAAAGGTTAGCCTTGGATTAAAGGTTTAGGTGCTGTTGTAGTCTGTTGGATTGTTTTCTATGTATGTTACTAAATGGAACCTAAGGAATTGTTTGAAACGGTTTCCCAATCTCTCCTTTCATCAATCAGTAAGTCGTGTCTGACTCAATGGTTGGGAAGGACATGTCCATGTCTTCACAACTACAGAAATAAAGGAAAGAATATTGAAGGGAAGGATGGATTGAGTCCGGCCAAGTGTCTTCAAGTTCATTGCCAAACTATAGAACTTTCGGTTTATTTGTCATTCACTAATGCTCGAATCTGATTTAATTTGATAAATTCTAAAAAATTGATTAAGTTTTTACACAAGAAGGATGAACCCTTACAACAAATTCACTATGCCACTTTATTCTCTACAATTTTATTTTTTCGTTCTCATATCTGGCTCCTTAATATGGTAGCAATTTTCCTTACCCAAGATTGAAACTTGAAAGGCGTGATTTCATAAGCTTGATTCAAAATCATCTTGGAAATATTTTCAAAATATGAAAATATTGTTGATTAAGTTATAATCAAAGAGAAACTAAATTAAAATGGCTTATTTGACTACAAAGGTTTAGGTTTTTAGTGACGTTTTTTTTAACGTTTAGTGGCGTTTATAAACGTCACTAAATAATTTGCAATATTTGCGAAAAATGCTAGTTAGAGTACCAACATACACGAGTCACAGAAAATAGCGACGTTTTCTATAAAACGCCACTATATTAATGGCATTTGTATATGAAAAACCTCGTTATTTTAACGGCGTTTGTATCTTTGAGATATCGCTAATTTAGTGATATTTTTATCAAAAAAATACCATTACTTTGGTGGCATTTATATTAAAAAAATGTCACTAATTTAGTGACATTTTTTAGTAAGAGTACTGTTATTTTTAGTAGCATTTTATGGTATAAACGTCACTAAATTATTCATTTAGCAATATTCTTGAATGCAAACGCCGCGAAATTAATAAATGTATCTTTTTTAAAATAAAAAATTTTTGTTAATATTTATTATTTGCACAAACGAGTTTAAATTTAGAAACTAAAATTAATATAAATTTAATTCACTTTTAAATATGCATCTAATTAAGATAAAATTTAATAATTAGTATAATAACATTCAAATTTTTTTAATACATTAACAAAATAAAAATTAAAATGTATGAAATTGATGACTGCATAGATTTTGAAGACTGTTAATTGATGAAGGAATTTTTTCACGTTGGCCACTATCGTGCTCAAGAACCTACTGAATAATATCATACAATTTTTAACTCTTCATTGTAAGCTTTTTTTACATTAAAAAATATAAGTATTTACTAAATATAATGCTCAGTTGGTGGACCACCGAGATTAGTTCCTGAGAATTATTGTTGCACAAAATTTATAAGATGATTGAATTGATCATGCAACTGCTGAAATTTTGCACGCTCTTGCTCTATTCTAGCATGTTTTTCCTCAATTTTGGCACGTTCCTGTTCTCTTTCTGCTTTCATTTGCTAGAAATGTTATTGCATAGTTTACTACTCCTCTCTCAATATTGAAATATCTTGTGAAGACTGACTTGCTGAGAATGTAAATTGCTAAGAGCTACATCCATAATAAGTAGATGGTGTTTGACCCAATCCAAGGCCTCAGACCCGTCCATGCCTTTTTTTTCTAGCAACTTCTATGAATATCCGATTTTTCAATTCTTGCATGTTGAGAGAACCATCAGATGCTACTTCAATCTCAGTAGCCATTTTTTTTTTCGCTTTCTCCTGTAAATTAATCATAAACAACTATCAAATTTAATGATTAATTGATAATATGTTAAAAAGAGTAAATATTTACTTTCTGTTAAAATAGATGCTACAAATTATCATAATTTCTTATGTTTCAACATTCATGTAAGATCTATCTTTTTTTGTGTGTGTTAAGTGAAAAAGTTCCACACATCCAATTTTATCGCCAATCTCAATCTCTTATACAAAAACATATGTTATTTGATACTATATATATCAATCGTAATTTATTTATGCATATCAAGCCTATCAATCAAGTTCAAAAATTTTGAATAATTTTAATATCATTTATTTATATTTTGTCTCTTTAACAACACAATAGTCTTAAACATATGCAAACAATAAAAGCATTATGGTCTTTTACACATATCAATCATGGAAACCAAATTCAATTATTTGGACAAGTTTAATATCACGGATTGAAGCCATTCAAACTGTTGAAAGCCATCCAAAAGTTTAATTTGTATTTTTACCTTTTAAAGGTAAAAATAGTCCCAAATAGACATAAACGATAACTTTTTCACCCATATCAACCGTAGAAACTAAGTTCAATCAATCAAACAAGTTCAATATCAAGTATTGAAGCTATCCAAACTGTTAAAATACAACAATAATAAAAAATTTGTATTTTTACCTAAATAGACATAAACAAAAACTTTTTCATACATATC